GAGAAGCCTTGGGGAATGGTCTCTAGCTTATGGCATGTTTGAAACCCATATGTAGCCGTGTCATTTTTCAGCAGCTGCCATGCTCTGCCGACCTTGGGACTTTCAATGGACTTGAATTAATGGCCTGCAGTGTGGTTTGGTAACATTGGGACTGTGCCTTTTTACTTGTCGACCTTGGGCTTGTCAGTCTCAGCAGCCAGCAGATGTCTGAGTGAAGAAAAGCTTCTAGCTTCAGTTGGTCGGGAGCAGAGGCAGAGCTGGATCCCAAGGTTGAGGGGCTTTCACCCAGCCTGTAGAGCCTGGCACTTTGAACTTGGACTTAAAGCCTCCAAAGTGTAAGAAAATAAACTCCTGTTTGTTCAAGCCATCCCATTTGTGGTATATTCTTGTCAGAGTGACACTAGGTCACCAAAACAATGAGTCAGAATCAATTTGATGGTAGTGGGTTTGGTGTTTTGGTTTTAACTGTATATATTAACAGTAACAGATTTTCAATTTATAGACTCAACTTATACTCAAGGAACAAATACAAATTTTACAAGCTTTATTGATTAAAAATAGTAATATAATAAAAAATGAGAGTTGAAAAGAAGAAGCAAATTTAACGATAAGAGTGATAATTTTCTTGTCCTCCTATTAGGTAGTCATCAGACTCTTACTGAGGCTGATGAAAATTAATTTTTAATAGGTATAATATTATCACTAACCAGTTGTTAGTGATAAGATTGAGGTGATTCTGACTCATGGAAATCCCACATATTTCAGAGTTGAACTGTGTGTGCATCACAGAGTCTCTGTACCTATGACCTTTCAGATAAGGAATTTGGCTGTTAAGTATAAGATCAGCAGGTCAAACCCACCAGTGGCTCCATGGAAGGAAGATGGTGCAATCTACTTCTGTAAAGATTTAAACCAAAACACCAAACCCATCATCATCGAGTTGATTCCAACTCATAGCAACCCTCATTGGGTTTCTGAGGCAGTAAGTCTGTGGAAGTAGATTGCCCCAATTTCCTTACACTGAGTGGCTGGTGGGTTTGAACCACCACCTTTCTGGTTAGCAGTCAAATGCCTTAGGCACTGTGCCATCAGAGCTAGGGGTTGCTATGAGTCAGAATCTACTTGATGGCAGTGAGTTTGGTTTGGAACCTTTCAGTAGCAGATTGACAAGCCTTTTTCCCAGTGCCTCTGGGTGATCAAGCAGTTTGCAATCAGCTGCTAATGTACAGATTGGTAGTTAGAACCCACCCAGCTATTCTGCAGAAGGCCTGGCACTGTGCTTTTGTTAAGACTCCAAAACCAAAAAAACAAAAAACCCACTCCCATCGAGTTGATTCTGACTCATAGAGACCCCCGTTGGGTTTCCAAGGCAGTAAATCTTTATGGAAATAGATTGTCCCATTCCTTCCTCAGAACCAAGAAAATCCTAGGGAGTAGTTCTACTCTGTAACACATAGAGTCACCACTCATCAAGGTTGATTCAATGGAAGCTAACAACTACAACAACAATCATATCATTTAAGGTAATAAAGACAATTTTAAGAATATAATTATTTTAATGTAGCTAATAAAAACCAGGAGATAGATGATAGATGTTAATATTCATGGGCTTTATAATAAGGAGCAAATAATACTGGGAAGCAATTAATTCATAAATAAAAATAAAAATATATACTATATAACATCATAAGGAATGAATGTAATTTTTGAAAATGACTGCTTCTAGAGAGTGAGGTTTATTGGATAAAATTGGGTCCATCGAGCTACATTTTGTTTCTTATTTCCTTTGCCCCTTTCTTTAATGTCTAATTTTTTAAGCACTTGCAATGCTACGTCTACAGTAATAAAATAAAAGTAACAAATTTGAAAGATACTTTTTTGTAACTTTGTATTTACAACAATTTTACCTACGTTTTTGGAAGCCTGTTTACAAATCTATTATAATTTAGTTTTCCAACAAACATAGATTTGGATTCTTTTTAATGGCACTGTAATGAACTTTGTGTTTTAACACAAACTTTTAATTGTCTACATCTTAAAATAAAAATTATCTTAAATAGATAAAGAGTTCCCAATATCCTAACCTTTGGCAAGGTCCTTTGTCAATCCCTATGTTCTATATTAAGCACATGCCTTTATTTTATATAGCTTAGTCATTCCATTATTGAAATAAGGATGCCTCTGGCATCCTAAAGTATAACAATGACAATCACCTTGGAACACAAAATTCAACCTTTTTTTTTTTCTTTTGGATAAATAATACGAACATCTGTCAAAAACAAAAAGGGGGAGCTTATTCATGAAAGAGCAGTAATCAAATGTAAGAAACCTCTTGAGAAATAACCATGTAATTTAGAAAAAGGTAGTTACTGATGATTTGTATAAAAAGACAAGGAGAAAACATACAAATTAAGATATTTGGAGAGAGACAAAGTGGGTCAGGGGCAGATGTAGCAGGGGCAGATCTGAATATGTTTACTGTATTGCCTGTAAATATATTCAGAAATCATAAACTAGAGTGTTAACAAATGCGGTGTGGGGACATGCTTGCAGCATTGAAGTCATCCACTTGAGAGAATACGTTAAAGAGCCAACAAGGACAGCATAACCTGATCCTTGATTTTTTGTTCATCTGCAAATGTGTACATGAACAGCAAGATCAATATTTTCAGGCCCTTACCGTAAAGCATGTGTCTGCATAAATAAGGCTGACTTATGATGCAGAATGAATGTCTCTATCCTTTCTCATATGGCTGGATTGAAGTTATGGCATATTTTTCTTCATGTCACACTTACGAAAAATAGTGTGTTAACGTTGCTTAACATGCCATGTGGGTGTTAGTCTGCCTTCTTTCTAAAAGCTGGTAGCTGAATCATTCACTGGAAACCCAGTTTGGATGGGGTTAATTAAATTGGAACAAGACATGGGCAAAGACATATATTTGGGGCATGTTTGCTCTTGGATTGAGCTTTCCCATAAGAAAATTTATAATCTGGGCTTTTCTAGAAGCAAGGTTGGCAGTGTCAAATTACCCAGTCAGCAAGGTAAGGACAGGCTGGCTTGTGCTTACTTAATCATCTATACTGAACAATTTCACGTTTTTCACCACATCAAATTTTCTGCTTCTAGATATGGCTGGAAGGAGCTCTGGTAGCACAGTGCCTGCCTATGGCATCTGACTGCTAACCATAAGGTTGGTAGTTCAAACCCACCAGCCACTCCATGGAAGCAAGACTGGGCAATCTACTTCCATAAAGATTTACTGTCTCAGAAAACCAAAGGTGGTCGCTATGAGTCAGAATCAACTCCTTGACTGCAGTGAGTTTTTTTTTTTTTTTT